CCTAATAGACATCTCTAGAACTCTACATCCAAAAGCAACAGGATACACATTCTTCTCAAGTGCACATGGAACATTCTCCAGAATAGACCACATACTAGGCCACCAAAAGAGCCTCAGCAAATTCCAGAAGATTGAAATCCTACCGACCAACTTTTCAGAGCACAAAGATATAAACCTAGAAATAAATTGTACAAAGAAAGAAAAAAGGCTCACAAACACATGGAGGCTTAACAACATGCTCCTAAATAATCAGTGGATCCATGACCAAATTAAAATGGAGATCCAACAATATATTGAAACAAATGACAACAACAACACAAAGCCCCAACTTCTGTGGGACGCAGCAAAAGCAGTCTTAAGAGGAAAGTATATAGCAATCCAGGCATATTTAAAGAAGGAAGAACAATCCCAAATGAATAGTCTAATGTCACAATTATCGAAATTGGAAAAAGAAGAAGAAATGAGGCCTAAGGTCAGCAGATGGAGGGACATAATAAAGATCAGAGAAGAAATAAATAAAATTGAGAAGAATAAAACAATAGCAAAAATCAATGAAACCAAGAGCGGGTTCTTCGAGAAAATAGACAAAAATAAATAAGCCTCTAGCCAGACTTATTAAGAGAAAAAGAGAGTCAACACACATCAAGAGAATCAGAAACGAGAATGGAAAAATCATGATGGACCCCACAGAAATACAAAGAATTATTAGAGAATCCTATGGAACCCTATATGCTAACAAGCTGGAAAACCTAGGAGAAATGGACAACTTCCTAGAAAAATACAACGTTCCAAGACTGACCCACAAGGAAACAGAAAATCTAAACAGAACAATTACCAGCAACGAAATTGAATCAGTAATCAAAGAACTACCCAAGAACAAAACCCCTGGGCCAGATGGATTTTCCTCGGAATTTTATCAGACATAGAGAGAAGACACCATCCCCATTCTCCTTAAAGTTTTCCAAAAAATAGAAGAGGAGGGTATACTCCCAAACTCATTCTATGAAGCCAACATCACCCTTATACCAAAACCAGGCAAAGACCCCACCAGAAAAGAAAACTACACACCAATATCCTTGATGAACATACATGAAAAATACTCAGCAGAATATTAGGAAACCGAATTCAAAAATACATCAAGAGGATCATACACCATGACCAAGTGGGATTCATCCCAGGCATGCAAGGATGGTAGAACATTTGAAAGTCCGTCAACATCATCCACCACATCAACAAAAAGAAAGACAAAAACCACATGATCATCTCCATAGATGCTGAAAAAGCATATGACAAAATTCAACATCCACTCATGGTAAAAACTCTCAGCGAAATGGGCATAGAGGGCAAGTACCTCAACATAATAGAGGCCATATACGGTAAACCCACAACTAACATCGTACTGACCAGTGAGAGGCTGAAAGCTTTCCCTCTGGGATCAGGAACAAGACAGGGATGTCCACTCTCCCCACTGTTATTCATCGTGGTGCTGGAGGTCCTAGCCACGGCAAACAGACAAAACAAAGAAATACAAGGAATCCAGATTGGTAAAGAAGAAGTCAAACTGTCACTATGTGCAGATGACATGATATTTTACATTTAAAAAACCCTGAAGACTCCACTGCAAAGCTATTAGAACTAATATCAGAATTCAGCAAAGTTGCAGGATACAAAATTAACATACAGAAATCTGTGGCTTTTCTAAACACCAACAATAAACTAATAGAAAGAGAAATCAGGAAAATAATTCCATTCACAATTGCATCAAAAACAATAAAATACCTAGGAATAAACCTAACCAGGGAAGTGAAAGACCTATACCCTGAAAACTACAAGACACTCTTAAGAGAAATTAAAGAGGTCACTAACAAATGGAAACAGTTCCCATGCTCCTGGCTAGGAAGAATTAATATTGTCAAAATGGCCATCCTGCCCAAAGCAATATACAGGTTCGATGCAATCCCTATCAAATTACCAACAGCATTCTTCAATGAACTGGAACAAATAGTTCAAAAACTCATATGAAACTGCCAAAGACCCCGAATGGCCAATGCAATCCTGAGAAGGAAGAATAAAGCGAGGGGGATCTTGCTCCCCAACTTCAAGATCTACTACAAAGCACAGTAATCAAGACAATTTGCTACAGGCACAAGAACAGAGCCACAGACCTGTGGAACAGAATAGAGACTCCAGACATTAACCCAAACACATATGGCCAATTGGTATACGATAAAGGAGCCACGGACATACACTGGGGAAATGACAGTCTCTTCAACAGATGGTGCTGGCAAAACTGGACAGCTACATGTAAGAGAATGAAACTGGATCACTGTCTAACCCCATACACAAAAGCAAATTCGAAATGGATCAATGACCTGAATGTAACTCATGAAACCATAAAACTCTTAGAAAAAAACATAGGCAAAAATCTCATGGACATAAACAATGGTGACTTCTTCATGAACATATCTACCCAGGCAAGGGAAACAAAGGCAAAAATGAACAAGTTGGGTTTATGAAGCTAAAAAGCTTCTGTCCAGCAAAGGACACCATTAATAGAACAAAAAGTTATCCTACAGTATGGAAAAATATATTCATAAATGACGACAGATCGGATAAAGGATTGACATCCAAAATACATAAAGAGCTCACACACCTCAACAAAGAGAAAGCAAATAATCCAATTAAAAAATGGGCAGAGGTCCTGAACAGACAGTTCTCTAAAGAAGAAATCCAGATGGCCAACAGGCACATGAAAAGATGCTCCACATAGCTAATCATCAGACAAATGCAAATTAAAACCACAATGAGATATCACCTCGCACCAGTAAGGATCACCATCATTGAAAAGGGAGACAACAACCAATGTTGGCCAGGTTGTGGAGAAATGGAAACCCTCCTACACTGCTGGTGGGAATGTAAATTAGTTCAACCATTGTGGAAAGCAGTATGGAGGTTCTTCAGAATGCTCAAAATAGAATACCATTTGACCCAGGAATTCCACTTATAGGAATTTACCCTAAGAATGCAGCACTCCACTTTGAAAAAGACAGATGCACCCCTACGTTTATTGCAGCACTATTTACAATGGCCAAATATGGAAGCAACCTAAATGTCCATCAGTAGATGAATGGATAAAGAAGAAGTGGTACATATACACAGTGGAATATTAATCAGCCAGAAGAAAAAAACAGATCCTACCATTCGCAACAACATGGATGGAGCTAGAGGATATTATGCTCAGTGAAATAAACCAGGCAGAGAAAGACACGTACCAAATGATTTCACTCACACGTGGAGTATAAGAACAAAGGAAAACTGAAGGAACAAAACAACAGCAGAACCACAGAACCCAAGAATGGACTAACAGTTTCCAAAGGGAAAGGGACTGGGGTGGATGGGTGGGAAGGAAGGTATAAGGGCGGGGAAAAAGAAAGACGGCATTACGATTCGCATGTATAGGGCATGGGGGCCCGGGAAGGGCCTTGCAACACAGAGAAGAAAGGTAGTGATTTTACAGCATCTTACTGTAAAATCCATACGCACATGGACAGTGACTGTGAAGGGGTTTGTAGGGGGGACTTGGTGAAGGGGCGAGCCTAGTAAACATAATGTTCTTCATGTAATTGTAGATTAATGATACCAAAATAAAAATAATAAAAATAAAAATAAATTTAAAAAGTGGTCATAACATCAGAGACAGTGAATGAAGATTCCGAGACCAGGACCCCTGCCTTCAGGGCTTTTGTGAAACATATGAGGGACATGGGTTAGGGCAGGAGCTGGTGAGATGCCTTCTGTATCTGGGGACACCTCTTTCTCCTGCCTGGGCTGTGAATTTCCTCTCCACTGCCCTTGTTTTCCTGTGTTGGAATTGCCATCTCACACAGCACTCTTCCTGGCTTTGTCCAAGGAGGCTTATGCCCTCTGAAGAAGGTCTGTAGGCATTTATGAATTTTTACAAGGTGGCCTTGGTGAGAATTCATAAAGAACTTCATTGCCTTAGAAGCCTGGCTATGATCAATCATGTATGAGGATTTAAAATATGTGAGTTGTTGTCTTAATCCCTATTAATTCTGTTTACAGACATTTGATGGAGATTAATTTGCCATTTAAGTGCATTTTTCTATAAATGCTGCCTAAAAATTTATGTATATGTAAGTTGAAGGAAATGGCTAAATATTAAGATGAAAGCTTTGTTAGTTTGCTGTTCTTCCAGGTTTCCATATCATTTCGCAGTTATTTCGTTACAGAAATGGTTCTTAAATTCTAAGAGTGAACATGAAGTATGTTCCCCTACCAAACCATTTCTTCTTTAATAGAGGACAGTGAGTTGTTAACTCTCCTCTATATATACCATTGCTTCTATATTCTATGTATATATCGTTCTGTATATGTATATTCTCTTATATATATGTTGTTCATTTTTCTCCTTAAAAAAAATTTATTTTTTAGTGTCCCAGATGGTAGAATTAAGAAAGAAACTTAGTTTGAAAAATCCTTGAGTTTATATTGCCCCTATTAAACTGAGCTGATTTAGTGTCCAGTCTGATTGTTTACAATTAGTTGTTCAACAAGGCACAATTCTTTTAAATTCAATCTATTGGAGAAGTCCAAGTTTTGTGACTCTTTACACAGATGAACTAAGAGTTAGTATCAATTTTGGTCCATTTTATATACCTGGTGTTAGTCACTGTATAACTTGAGTTATTCTTTTATCTTTTGCTATTAAAATAATTTGTTTGATAGAAAATGGTGAAAGAATATTTGCTTATATGTCTGGAATAAAAGGAATGGATCATAGATTATAATTTATCAAATAGAACTTTCAAAAATAGACTTGTCCACTCTCACTAATTGAAGACACAGAATTTTACTAAACGTATAAATTTTTTTTAAAACTTGCGTTCATTGTGGTTAAAGTGATAAAGAAGCAATTAACAGCATTAAAAAACAGTACTGTAGCTGTACCACTAATGAAAAAGGCAAACATAGTTCTTTGCATAAAAGGCTTTATTAGCAGAAACTACAATATGGAAAGGAACATTTTCTTTTGCACCAAGAAAAGATGCCAAACACTAGTAATTTCTCATTTTCTAATATTGGGGAGACAGAGGCATCAGTAATATGTAATTGAGAGTACATTTGAGTATTAGATGAAATACAGAAATATTTTTATCTCAGCATATTTTAGCAAGTTCTTTTACACTGCAACCTATTGAACAACACTTGTCTGCCAGTGATATAAGGACCTGTCTCTCTTCTCGGGAGTGCTTCTCTAAGCCTGAGTTTTTTAATTCTGAATTATTGTTCTCTTCTTTTTGATTTTGTCTCCTACGAATATTTTTGTGGAATTCTTCAAAGTTAAGATTTGTATCCCTTAATGCAGGTTTTTGTAACTCTGGCAGTGATAGCTGTTTCTCAGACACTGTTTCATTTGTCTTCTGTGGCCAATGGGGAATGAACTCCAACATCGTATTTAAGGTTTCTGCATCTTCGGTAATGGAGGATGGCATGATTTCTAGGTTCACAAAAGGGGGGAGACAAAAATATTTATGTTAAATAACCAAAAAAAGCCTACAAAATTTTGCGTAGAAATAAAGGAAAACATCGCCTCAATAGAATTAAACATCAAAACAGAATCAGCAAGTATCCTGATATCTAAACAAGGGGGTTTTTTGTAGTTGGGAGCTTACGTATTATAACATTATAATTGCTTTACTCTACTTAGACCCTCTGTCATCTCTCCTCAGGTCCTCTTAATATTCTGTCATAGCACTTTAGACTCCACCTGACATTTCTGAAGTCGTCTTGTGTCTGAAAAATGCTGTTTGACCATAGATGAATGTTTTGTACCTGAGTAATTTTCTTCCATTACTAAGAAAATTCTGAGTTATGACAGTAACCCTTGAAAAGCATGTTAATTATTTTAAAATATCAAATGTTCCATGGTGCCAAGTTACTATTCCAAGATGAAGTGTAAAAACTAGCAGAATTTCCAAATGCTGTGATCTCACAGGCTTGCGATCTCTGACATTCCTCATATATCTATTTACCAATTTCTTTGTCCCAGAGTATTTACTCCAAATCAGTAGTATTTTACATTAAATAGAGAACTGGGTTAAAAGAACATTAAACAAATAATCTCACCTTTAAGAAAAGATTAGTATCTATTGTGGTGTGTGTGTACTGACTCACATACTCTGATGGTTTTCATTCCAGTGCTATGGCTCGTGCACTAAGCAAGTTCTCTATGTTCCCTACGAGAGAAGCCTGTTCTTAAACAGCATCCCAGGATGGGCAAATATGAAGGTTGGTACTTGGACTGGGAACTTTGCAGGAATGAGCTGAAGTCTTCATTGTTTATATCCATTAAGTTCAGATGAATATGTATTGTTTACATGTCTCTGGCACTGCCGGATTGGGGATATAAATAAAAAGAAAACGTATTTCCTGTTCTCAAAATACTTTCAGTCATGTGAATTTGCTGCTAACCTTACCTATCCTACTAACATAAATTTGAGTTTTATCACCAAAAAATTAGAAGCACAGATAAATAAACATAAATTACAGCATAAACCTTGATCACTTCATTAACAGCAAATCTGTCCTTTTTCGAAAGCTTATTAGTAAGACATTACTCTTCGAACAGTGGAAATAATGAGGCCAAGAGACATAAATCTAAGCATGGAAGGTGGAATTCTGGGTAACTTGAGCAGACTAACTACTGAGTAGGAAAAAAACATGCCTTCACCCAGGTATGAATGGTCTGGGCTGCCCCACTTCCTATGAGTTCTGTAGTAAGAGTTTTAAATGCTCTCCTTTCAACCAACTTCAATAGTTGTAGTTTTCCATGAAAAAAGAAAACAGTATTTTTCCTTCCTCCAAATGGTCTCTTTCATTTAAGTTATAAACTGACAATGACAGATGAGAATTTATACCATTTATTAGTAGAAGTTTTTTCATTTTCCCTCAGTAAGACATCATAAATTTCATTCTTATGATACATTCTCTCTGCTCTAACTTAAACTTTTTCTGGTTTAGAGCTTATTGAATGCAGAGAAAAGCTGATAGTAACTTCCCACATACTTAAAGCACATGAATGAACCACGCAAAGTAGTTGTACTGTGTACTATGTTTATTCATAAGCTAGTTTTGAGCATTCTTTTTTTTTCTTTTGACAATTTAAAAACCCATTATTTGGAAATACTTTTTGAAATTACCGAAAATTCATAAAAATATAACAGAATTCCCATATAATAACTTGTTCTTTAATTTTTGGTATAAGAATATTTAGCATAATACCTGCCCTTTAAACAGAATTTTAAGTTTCCAATATAGCACTTATCTATACATAGAACCTTGTACATCATATTTCTAGAACCAGTTCACCTTGAATAATTGGAACTTTATACACATTGATTAACTACTCCCTATTTCTTCCTTCTCCCAAGTTCTTGCAACCACTATTGTGTATTCTTTGCTTCTATGAGTTTGACTATTTTAAATACTTGTAAGTGGAATCATGTGGTATTTGTACCACTGTTACAGGCTTTTATTCGCATAACATAGTATTTTCCAGGTTCATCCATGTTATTGCATATTGCAGGATTTCCTCTTTTTCGGGCAGAATAATATTCCATTACATGTATATACCCACATTCTTTATTCATTCATCTGTGGATGGACATTTAAGTTGTTTCCACATCTTAGCTACTGTGAATAGCACTGCAGTGAATGTGCAAGTGAAGTATCTTTTCAGGATTCTGATTTCAATTCTTTTGGATAAATACCCAGAAGTGGGATTGCTGGATCATATGGTCAATTTTATTTTTGTAGGAACCTTCATACTATTTTCTATATGGCTGCTTTCCCACCAACAGTATACAAGGGTTCCAGTTTCTCCATATCTTCAACAATACTTTGTTTTCTTTTGTTGGTAAGGGCCTTGCTGACAGGTGCAAAGTATATCTTATTGTTGTTTTGATTTCTATTTGCCTGATGATTACTGATGTGGAGCATCTTTTCTTCTACCTGTTGGCTATTTGTATGTCTTCTTTGGGTTAACGTCTTTTCAAGTGTTTAGCTCCTGTCTTAATCAGTTACTAGTTTTTTTTCGATTGAGTTATAGGGGTACTTTACGTGTTTTGGAAATTAACCCCTCATCATAAATGTCGTCTGCCAATATTTTACCATTCCATAGATTGCCTTTTCAGTCTGTTGATTATTCATTTTGCTGGGCAGAAGCTTTTTTTGGTTTGCTGTCTCCACACTTCCTAATACTGCTTTTATTGCCTCTATGATACCCTTTTATTAAAATTATGTTTTCAATTGGAAACATTTGCAATCCACAACTTTAGGTGCTGGAATCTAAGTAATGTGTAATATTCTAATCTACCTGACTCATACAAACACCTATTAATCACTCTATTTTGGAGTAAAATCTCACCAGCATAGACCTCTCCTAAGTAAAAACATGTACTTTTAGAAGTGATGCAGTAAGTGTTACTTCTGCATACATTGTGGGGGACATGGTTAGCCAGTAATTCAATAATGTAAACACAAACCTAAAAATCCCGGTTTTAAAACGTATAAATCCCAAATTATTCACATGTATTTTCAAGCTGATTCTTAACTAGTAATTTAAACATTTCTCTTAATCCTTACTTGCAGGCAATATTTTCTTAGGTTATTTACACTTAAATTATGCACTGAGTACCAATAAAGACTGTTCCTTTAAAATGCTTTAATATCACAAGTCTCTCCTACAGAAATATAAATTTGACCAAATATCTATACATAAACATGCACAATCCAACAGCTTGGAAAGGAAGCCATGTCCACTAAGAATTGTTAACTATATATGGTAGATCTATGATACTGCAGGGGATATTCATATATATCTCCAAATGTTAATATGCTTTCCGGTTCCTCACTTAATATACATATTTTCATGTTCTTATAAAATTCACATATGTTTTCACATCTTATTTAGTATGTACAAGTTCTCATCATTGCCTCCGTATTGTGTAATGTATATTTTCAGTCTTTCATGTAAACATTATTTATGCACAAGAAGTGAATTAATGAAGCAAATGCAATGCAATCTGGACTTCCCTATTTTGAATCAGTAAATTCCTAAACTCTGTGGTAGTTTTCTATTTATACTATACAGGAATTATGTGAAAACTTATATGAAATAATTGAATCTTTGACCAATAATGTAGAAAAACAGTTTTATAATTCTGCTTTAAATCCCATAAAAGGGTCAACATACTTAGTGTGCAAATGATTTTACATGAGTGTTACTCAGACACAGGATATGCATATGGCATATAAAATATTGTTGTGGTTTCTCATAAATTGCATATATGTGATGAAATCCAAAAGAATTATTCATAATTGAGGTTACCTTCTCTGAGTTTAAAATGATCCCTGACATTGATAAGATTAGCCTATACTTCCGTAAAAATTCCACTGCTACCTAAAGTTTGCTTCTGGTTTCTGTGTATAAATGCTCTATAACTAACAGTATTTTTGTGAAAATTCCAAATTTGAGCAGTAATCAATAATGAGATCTTGCTTTTAAAGGTCTTGCACCTTACAAGTACCTAAAGCATCAATAGGAATTCCATCTGTGTTTGTCTCAAGCGCAAACTCCCCTTGATTCTTGGTCCCCTTCAGTTCCTCCTGTAGGCTGTCAGGCCCTTTGCTTTCTCAATCCCTTCTCTCACAAATGAACTTCAAGACCTGGTTCAGAGAGACTAGGTTCTCCCCTTTAGTGAAGTTTACAAGTAAAATTAATATTAAAAATAGAAAGTTTTCAATGGCATGGGCCACAGCCAAGCTTTTCTACAGAGGAAAGTCCTTAAATCTAAAGCCCTTCATGTTAACTACTCCGGGATCCTATCAGTGGTCTGCAGGTTCTGCCCCGTGCCCCTTGGCCTGCACAAGCACTTGATAACCTGCTCATACATCACTGGTGGCCCCTGTCCTGTCAAGTCAAGATGCCCTGCATAGTTTCCGGGGTCCAGCATGCCATCTGTCTAGCCCATGTTTCCTTATACTGCGGACCTGTGGGCAGCCTCACCTCCTCTGTGGCTTCCTCCTGCTCCCAACCGTGTCACCCTGACTTCCAGGAGATCAGGGGGACCAAATGCCGCTCAAGTGAGTCTGTTTGCTGTCCCTGCTACTTCCCTTCCCTCTGCTGAGATTCCTTCATGGGACCCGTACTAGAAAAGCAAGTTGCAAGGGAAAACTAAACATTTTGGCATGAGCAGCCTCAAAGTCAGGGCAGGAGCTCTCACCTGCAAGCTGTTCAAATTCCAGCAGAGGCTTCTGGCCTTGATCCCTTTTTCTCCAGGGCATGGTACCGCAGAGCTCGATCCGGATGCGGACTAATTCTCTGCCGCATGCTCGAATAAGCTTGTCTGTCTCTCCTGGGACCTCTCTGGGAAGTTGGCTCAATAGTAGCCAGATTCCTAGCAGGTGGGACAAGAACAGGTGCAGCATCCTGGACCTGATCTCTGCTGCTCGGGCGTTTCAGCCTTTCTCTAGACACTGCTGTCGCTTACTGGCCTCAGCCTGTGTGTCAGTCCTGCACTTCAGGCTGCTTTCCCTGCCTGGCTCCCAAAAGCTTTTATAGCGCTTGGGCTTCCACTTAGATCTTGAGTCACTGGTCCAAGATCCACGCCTTTCCCCACCCAAGTCCTTGGAATGCTTCCCCTTCCCCCCTCACTCTTCCCAACTTTCCTACATTGTTTGCCCATCTTTGTGTTCTTGATCCTATTAAAGTTTTAGTTTTCTTTTTTCTTACCCTCAATCCATTTTGTATACCTACAGTTAATATTTGACTTCTTTTATTATAAAGATGGGCACAGCCATTATACTAAATTGTATGAAGAAAAATAAAATTGAACTCACCCGTACTCTCACAAACCAGAGTTTTCCAGCATGAACATTTGCTGCAAAAGATTATAATCTAAATAAGATAATAGATTAAGACGTGTAGTGTGCGATGTATCAATCCATAAAAATATAATGAATGAATGAATAAATTGTTGACAAGAGAGGGAGAACTGATGACTGTGTAAATTCTAGTAAATCCATTAAAATTTTCAATGTATTACTTTAGGCTCACGCAGTATCTTAAGTTTATGATGCACTTTCTCCCCGACTTCATTTGAGTTCTTTGGGATGTAGTTTAATCATAACCAGTTACTTGAATATCTTCATTTCTGAATATATTCTATAGGCCTTTAATCTGGAGAACGCACCCAGAGACCAAAAAATAAAAGAAAAAAAGCAGGAGAATCCCACAATTTCAGAGAATATTTTGGTAACACAGTGACAGCACAAAAATCATTATTCTTTATTCCATGTTTACTTTGTCAGATTTTTTTTAACCTTCCAATTTCACTTTTTTAAAAATTCAACACAGTTTAAATTAGTACATCATCATTAAGCCACCTTTCTAGGTGGACAGTAATTTTTCAGGAACTGAAAAATAGTTTTTTAGAAATTTTTTCACTAATTTATTTCCTTGTGTTCATAATGCACTCAAATTACCACAGCCACACCAGGCAAATTAGAGACCCGGAGGAAGGTTTGATAACTTGAAATTAAAGTAATGATTCAACAATCACTTTATTACAAATACAGATATGGGAGGAAAATAATCCTAAATTGTAGATGGCTGCTAATTTCAACAGGGACCCAGTCAGCACTAGTCCAAAGGTAAACATTATGCAATTTAATAAACAAAAGGAAAAAAATCCTGACCAAAGCTATGAGATGGTCAGAGATAGTGCTTGTAGATGGGTTTTCATGAGGAGAAACAGTTGGGGAGAAGCTTCTCAAAACTGAGGTTTGAATGTATATTGTGGATTCAGTCATCTCAAAAATCATCCGTTTAGAAGGCTGTCCTGCAAAGCAAATGCACATGTTAAATGTAAGTTTCATTGGATATGGGGCTGTGTACTTTTTTCCCAGGTAGTCTAATGGAGTACTTGCAACGGTCCAGGGGAGTGGCCGTTCTCCCACTGTACAGAGAGAGGAAGCAAGGTGAGAGTAGTCAAGTAGCTTGTGCAGCTTTGTCTAGTACATGTGCCAGAGCCGGGTGTACACGCAATGTGAGGTGTACACGCAAATGCAGGATTCATAACCTTTGTAGGCACAACTACAAGGCATGTCATGTTCTTAAGACAAACAACAACAAAAACGAAAAGAACCTTTATAAGGAGAAAAACCAAATGTGTGCCATCCAAACATCTGGCAAGTGCTCGACCTAATCTGTCTTCTGGATTCCTAATCTGTCTTCTGGACTCCAAAGCTTCTTTTCTTTGGTTCTCCTGAAACCCTTAGGTCCAGCTCCAGTTGGAATTAATCTGCATGGTAGAGGTTAATAGATAAACATTAATGTCTGTAAATCAGTCATTGTAAGTACAAAGCAGTAAGTGAGCCTATGTGGTGACTCTCTAGGCTGTAAATCATAGAAATGATTTCCCAGTGTTTGTAGGTAGCAGTGTCCATATAACACAGTTCTGGCCAATACAACATAAGCACACAGAGGAGGTTTCTGGCAAAGCCTTTCTAATCCAGGCAGTAAACCTTCTGTCCCCTTCTTTCCCTCCCTGAAATGCATGCAGAGACTCAGAGGAGCAGCAACCATCTTGGGACCTGAAGTGGGGAACATAGGAAGAAGGCCTATATGCTAAGCACAGCTGCCTGGGAAGGTGTGAGGAGCTTGCCGACATCATTCAGATGCTGCAGGGGGCCAGGGCCCTTCTTCCTAGGCTGTTTAAAGCCATGACTGCAGCTTTTCCTGTTATTTACAGAGAACACAATCCTGAAATACATAGAGAGAGAGAGAAAGAGAGAAAGGGGAGAGGTATGTATATATAGTTCTTATGTTAGAACTAAACTAAGCTTACATTTATGAGTTTCCCTTGAGAGTTTAGTCATACTTTAATAGGACT